GCGGTGTTGAGTCTATGGGCAGTGTTGGGTCTATGGGCGGTGTTGAGTCTATGGGCAGTGTTGATTCTATGGGCGGTGTTGGGTCTATGGGCGGTGTTGAGTCTATGGGCAGTGTTGAGTCTATGGGCGGTGTTGGGTCTATGGGCAGTGTTGAGTCTATGGGTAGTGTTGAGTCTATGGGCGGTGTTGAGTCTATGGGCGGTGTTGGGTCTATGGGCGGTGTTGAGTCTATGGACAGTGTTGGGTCTATGGGCGGTGTTGAGTCTATGGGCGGTGTTGGGTCTATGGACAGTGTTGAGTCTATGGACAGTGTTGAGTTTATGGGTGGTGTTGAGTCTATGGGCAGTGTTGAGTCTATGGGCGGTATTGAGTCTATGGACAGTGTTGAGTTTATGGGTGGTATTGAGTCAATGGGCAGTGTTGAGTCTATGGGCGGTATTGAGTCTATGGACACTGCTGTTTAATGTATATTCCAGTGGAGGGGTTGGAAGGGGGTGGGTGCAGAAATATCGACAACGAGATTGGGCACAGGGAGGAGGAGGAGGATGATGAGAGATGGACACAGGTGGGTGGCAAGCATCTTGCCTGATACGTTCAGTTGAGATCCGACTCCCTGGTGAGGCAAGGGCGTCTCACGGACTCACGACCGCCAGGGTCTCACGGACTCGCGTGCACCTGCCGCTAGAGCGCGGAGCGGCGGAGACGCTGAGCCACGCGCCCTGGACCGGAATTGTTCTGCAAAGTCTCGGGTGCCTGCCGGACTGCGGCGAAGAATGTGAATGTGTTTTTGTGCTTGGGGGAATCCGATGAGCTATGAAGCTTTTTTTTTATCACAGACTAGCTTTACTACCCGCCTTCGCCCGGGATTTGGATTCACCACGCCCGGTCGCCTTTGTCTCCCCAGTGGTGATGTTCACACACCAGACCAGGTAATTGTTTGAGGCTGAGTCGACCTAGGGGAGGCCCAGGACCGGTTCAAATAATCGTCACCGGCGGTGGCCGTGAGCCGGAATCGAACTCGGTTCGCCGGGTTCGTAGCGCGGCACGCTAACCACGACACTACAATGCGTTACGCTTCCACATGCGTGGGTCACGTGACAGATGTGACGTCACAGCTCACTTGCCGTGCAAAAAAATATGCATTATTGAGCTCCCCCCCCCCCCCAAAATAAATAAGTGTATTTTTATAATGTTTGCATGGTGTACAGTCTGTAAAGTACCCACATGGCAAATTTCAAGTTTGTTGCATTTCAGGAAGTATGCTAAACATTTTGAACAGACACACATAATCACAACTTTTCCTTTAATATATGGAGATGTCCAGTAGGGGCACGGGGTAAGATTGTTACAACATCAAACAGTTACAAAAACACACGACAGTATTGTAAAGTACAAGACAGGTAGACAAATGACCCAAGCGCATACAAATGCAACTAAACCATCCCCATCCGACCAGACAAATCCCACCGAGGTATTCACTTATTGTTCAAAAGTGACCCGGCCAAAAGTGGCTTATTGTGTAGACATTTCTAGCAGCAACACAATCGGAATAGTCTAAACGCGTGTTTCTAAATGTGGAGAGAAAAACCGGAGGATCCGGAAAAAAAATCCACGCGACCACGGGGATGAGAGAGAGACACGCAAACTCCAAATATACAGCAGCAGGCGTCAGGGTCGGTATCGATCCCATGACCTCCTGCACACCAGGCGAGGTAGTTAACATCTCAGCCACCGTGATGATGATGAGAGAGAGACACGCAAACTCCAAATATACAGCAGTAGGCGTCAGGGTCGGTATCGATCCCATGACCTCCTGCACACCAGGCGAGGTAGTTAACATCTCAGCCACCGTGATGATGATGAGAGAGAGACACGCAAACTCCAAATATACAGCAGCAAGCGTCAGGGTCGGTATCGATCCCATGACCTCCTGCACACCAGGCGAGGTAGTTAACATCTCAGCCACCGTGATGATGATGAGAGAGAGACACGCAAACTCCAAATATACAGCAGTAGGCGTCAGGGTCGGTATCGATCCCATGACCTCCTGTACACCAGGTGAGGTAGTTAACATCTCAGCCACCGTGATGATGATGAGAGAGAGGGAGAGAGAACACAAACTCCAAATATACAGCAGGCGTCAGGGTCGTGATCGAACCCACGACCTCCTGTATACCAGGCGAGGTAGTTAACATCTCCTAGCCACCGTGATGATGATGATGAGAGAGAGACATGCAAACTCCAAATATACAGCAGCAGGCGTCAGGGTCGTGATCGAACCCACGACCTCCTGTATATCAGGCGAGGTAGTTAACATCTCACTACCGTGGCGTCCCTGAAATAAATAAATAAAAGTTATGAGTTCTAATTGCATCATCAGAGCCGAAGCCTCTCCGGAGAACTCGGCCATTGTCAGACGTTTCACGTTTCTCTCTCTATCCCTCGACAATAAAAACGCAAAGCCACTTCCGTTTCGAAAAGACGGCGGTCGGGGACAATTGTCGTCTCAGCTGATAATATCAGCGTGGCTGGCTACCTTTAAATATCAGTGGTGACAATGACAATAGTAGTGATGACCATGACAATAGCAGTGATGACCATGACAATAGCAGTGATGACAATGACAATAGCAGTGATGACAATGACAATAGCAGTGACGACAATGACAATAGCAGTGACGACAATGACAATAGCAGTGACGACAATGACAATAGCAGTGATGACAATGACAATAGCAGTGATGACAATAGCAGTGACGACAATGACAATAGCAGTGATGACAATGACAATAGCAGTGATGACAATGACAATAGCAGTGATGACAATGACAATAGCAGTGATGACAATGACAATAGCAGTGATGACAATGACAATAGCAGTGATGACAATGACAATAGCAGTGATGACAATGACAATAGCAGTGATGACAATGACAATAGCAGTGATGACAATGACAATAGCAGTGATGACAACGACAATAGCAGTGACGACAATGACAATAGCAGTGATAACAATGACAATAGCAGTGATGACAACGACAATAGCAGTGATGACAACGACAATAGCAGTGACGACAACGACAATAGCAGTGATGACAATTACAATAGCAGTGATGACAATGACAATAGCAGTGATGACAATGACAATAGCAGTGATGACAACGACAATAGCAGTGACGACAATGACAATAGCAGTGATGACAATGACAATAGCAGTGACGACAATGACAACATCAGTGATGACAATGACAATAGCAGTGACGACAATGACAATAGCAGTGATGACAACGACAATAGCAGTGACGACAATGACAATAGCAGTGATGACAATGACAACATCAGTGATGACAACGACAATAGCAGTGATGACAATGACAACATCAGTGACGACAATGACAATAGCAGTGATGACAACGACAATAGCAGTGATGACAATGACAATAGCAGTGATGACAATGACAACATCAGTGACGACAATGACAATAGCAGTGATGACAATGACAATAGCAGTGACGACAATGACAATAGCAGTGATGACAATGACAACATCAGTGACGACAATGACAATAGCAGTGATGACAACGACAATAGCAGTGATGACAATGACAACATCAGTGATGACAATGACAATAGCAGTGACGACAATGACAATAGCAGTGATGACAACGACAATAGCAGTGATGACAATGACAATAGCAGTGATGACAACGACAATAGCAGTGATGACAATGACAATAGCAGTGATGACAATGACAATAGCAGTGATGACAATGACAATAGCAGTGACGACAATGACAATAGCAGTGATGACAATGACAATAGCAGTGATGACAACGACAATAGCAGTGATGACAATGACAATAGCAGTGATGACAATGACAACATCAGTGATGACAATGACAATAGCAGTGACGACAATGACAATAGCAGTGACGACAATGACAATAGCAGTGATGACAATGACAATAGCAGTGATGACAATGACAATAGCAGTGATGACAATGACAATAGCAGTGATGACAATGACGATAGCAGTGATGACAATGACAATAGCAGTGATGACAATGACAATAGCAGTGATGACAATGACAATAGCAGTGATGACAATGACGATGGCGACCATCCAGGATCGTCTTGCAGAGTCTCAAGGCTGTTGCCACTGCCGCTGCTGCTACTGCTGCTGCTGTTGCTGCTGTTGCTGCTGCTGCTGTTGACACTGCTACCCCTGCTGTTGCTGCCACTGCTGCTGCTGCCACTGCTGCTGCTGTTGCCGCTGCCGCTGCTGCAGCTGCTGCCGCTGCTGCTGCCGCTGCTGTTGCCGCTTCTGTTGCCGCTGCTGCTGCCGCTGCTGATGCTGTTGCTGCCACTGCTGTTGTTGCTGCTGCTGCTGCTGTTGCTGCTGTTGCTGCTGCTGCCACTGCTGCTGTTGCTGCTGTTGCTGCTGTTGCTGCTGTTGCTGCTGCCGCTGTTGCTACTGTCGCGTGCCATTTTTGCAGCGTTTGGGATGTCCTTGACCAAATCGCGGTCACTTTGCGTGCGAGTGCGAGCGTGCCCGGTTTAAACCGAGCGGGGAGCGGCGGTGGAGCGGTTAGCGCCTCGCTGCGCTGCGAACCTCACGACCCGGGTTCGATTCCTGCTCGCGGCCAACACCGGTGACGATTATCTGAACCGGTTATGGGCCTCCCCCAGGTCGACTCAGCCTCAAAATGAATACCGTACCCGGTACGGTGTGTAGTAAACATGGCCACTGGGGAGACAAAGGCGGCCGGGCGTGGTGGTGGCCACCCACCCGGCCCCCTCGTGTGCCACGGCGCCGACCGTCACAGGGCGCTGCTCCTCGCGAACGGCACTTGCCCCGACAGTCTGTTGAGGCTATACGGGGGAGAGGGGGTGGAGGGGTTTTGTCTTTGTTTTAAACTATGGGGGGGGGGGGGGGGGGGGGGTTGAATAAAAACAACGAGCGGTTTGAGAGGAGAGCCCTGGGTGTGCGATGCGTTGCAGGTCAACTGAAGCTCTCCATCGATGTGGAGGAGACGTCGCTCAGCGTCCACGGTGAGTGCAGCCCCCACCCCGGGCAGCGTCCACCTCCAGCGGGAGACCTTCAGCCAGCAGCGGCTCCACCGTCACCTCTGTGGTCAACCACAACCACCAGCACACTCACCACCGTGATTAATCACCACCGCTGTAATCAACCACCATCACCACTGGTCAACCACCACCACCGCTGTAGTCAACCACCACCACTGCAGGTCACAACGACACACTCACTCACTCACTCATTCACTCACCGACTCACACATTCAGAGTCATTCACCCATTCACTCATCCACTCACTCATTCACTCACCTCCACACTCACCACACCGCAGGTCACAACTCACTCAGCCACTCGCACAGTCACTCACCCCCCCTCCCACTCACCACACCACAGGTCACAACTCACTCAGCCACTCGCACAGTCACTCACCCCCCCTCCCACTCACCACACCACAGGTCACAACTCACTCAGCCACTCGCACAGTCACTCACCCCCCCTCCCACTCACCACACCACAGGTCACAACTCACTCAGCCACTCGCACAGTCACTCACCCCCCCGCCCACTCACCATACCGCAGGTCACAACTCACTCAGCCACTCGCACAGTCACTCACCCCCCCTCCACACTCACCACACCACAGGTCACAACTCACTCAGCCACTCGCACAGTCACTCACCACCCCTCCCACTCACCACACCACAGGTCACAACTCACTCAGCCACTCGCACAGTCACTCACCACCCCTCCCACTCACCACACCGCAGGTCACAACTCACTCAGCCACTCGCACAGTCACTCATCCCCCCGCCCACTCACTATACCGCAGGTCACAACTCACTCAGCCACTCGCACAGTCACTCACCCCCCCCCCGCCCACTCACCATACCACAGGTCACAACTCACTCAGCCACTCGCACAGTCACTCACCCCCCCCGCCCACTCACCACCCCGCTGGTCACCTCACCTCTCTCTCTCTCTGCTCCTTCCCTCACACTGCCGCACTCTGGAATTCCCTCCTCCCATCATAATCATCGTCACCCTCGCCTCTCATTCACAACCTCTTGTTAAATAATAATAATAACCACAATTCAAGATGTGTGTTACACTCTTACCGAGTGCGACTCTAATAAGAGTGCTGTTTGTTGCTAGCCCCTTGGCGTTTTGGGGCCTTTGGACGTCTGCTCCGCAACAACGGCTTATACAAAAACAAAGTGACCCGGGAGAGTGGTGCAGCGGTTAGCGCGCGAGCGCTACAAATCTGGCCGCCTGGGTTTGATTCTGGCTTGCAGTTGAGTCGATGTTGACGTGGACTTCGGATGAATGCGTTGTACGTTTACGGCGGTGTCTGTGCGATGGGGAGCGGTGGCGCAGTGGTTAGCGCTACGCCGTGCTAGGAACCCGGCGGCCCGAGTTCGATTCCCGCTCACAGAACCGGTCATGGGCCTCCCCTAGGTCGACTCGGCCTTAAATGAGTACCTGGTGTGATGTGTGTAAACATCGCCACTGGGGAGACAAAGGCGGTCGGGCGTGGTGCTGGCCACCCACCCCCTCGTGTGCCGTTCTGGTCTTTCGTAGGTGCTCGCTAACAGCACTTGCCCCAACAGTCTGTCAAAGGCTATACGGGTGATCTTTGTCTTTGTGTGTGACTCAGTCATGGAAGCCAAGGGGCTGGTGGGAAAGGAGTTCCAGACCTGCAACTCATACGTCAAGGTACCATTATTATCATTATTATCGGCCCTTCGCAAATCAGTTGCTGGATGGGAGCAGGGGATGAACGGGAGATCAGAGGGACAGGACGGAAAAGGAATGGTGAAACTGGAGTGGGAGGAGGGAGAGGCTGCATCAGGAGGAGCAGGGGGAGGAGGAATAGGAGGGGGAGGGGGATGGATGAGGATGGCGGGGGCGGAGTTGGTTGGCGGGGGAGGAGGGGGAATAGGAAGAGGAGGAGGGGCAGGAGAGGGAGGAGGGGGAGGAGTTTGTTTTTCCAGCGGGTGGTGACGGTGGGAGGGGTTCAGGGTGGGGGCGGGGACACATGGAAGTCACGTGGTTTATGGGAGGCTCGATCCTTATGGAGATAGAGATGGGGTGAACAACGGTACTAACGCCTACGGGAACACGGGCAGGCGGTGGGAGACGATATTTAAACGATTGAAGCAAGCTGGGGCCATGAATCGTGACAACCCAACCGCCGGAGATGAAGGTCGGGGGTGGGGGGGGGGGGTGTGAATCCTACGCCCCCCTCGTGTTGAGCCGGTGCTCGCGATCAGACGGACGGACGGCACTGCACTTCCAGTGCCGCCGCGACGCCCTCCGCTCACGGAGTCAGCTCGAACGATGCGACGGGGATCTCTCAACCTCCGCCGTGGAGTGGCAGGCGGCGCGGTGGCGGTCGTGATGAATGCCAGCCGCGACGTTTACCAGGGCGGCCCGCTGGGGCTAAAACCGTGACGCTCGCTGCACTCCGGGCTGAGTCACCTCTCGCGACTCTGACGGTCACTACCCCTCGCCCCCCCCCCCTCCACCTCTTTCTCCCCCCCCACCCCCCATTTTAGTTGGCGCTGGTGCCAGACCTGGAGCGGAAGCAGCGTTGCAGAACGAGGATGGTGCCCGACTGCAAGGGCCCGGTCTTCCACGAGCACCTCGCCTTGTAAATCGCCGACCCCAAACACCACCGCCCCCTCTTCTCCGCGCGCTGTGGTCACATTCAAAGCGACGCTATTGGCTGCATCGATTAAACGAGGCTCTCACCTGGATCGATAATAGCAGGGAAGACAAAATCGAGCAAATGCACGGGCTTGGCCACATTGTTAGCCGCGGGCCTTTTGTCTGTGAAAAGTGTTGAATTCGTGACGGTAACGATAATGATAACAACTACAACAATAACGACGTTACTGTCGGAGCCTCCTCCCTCCGTGACGACGTCGCCTCGACGCGCGGTGACGTCGCGGGGACGTCATCACGGAGGGAGGGGAGATGCACACCCACCCTGTCACATCAATGCCTGCGCCTGAAAGGCTGAATCCACCAAGCGCCGGGATTTCTTCCTTCCCTCTCGGCATGTCACTCAGAGAGTGCCGCAAAAAACACTCAACGCATCTGTCAGTAACAATGCATAGCCTTCAATGGAAGTATATATAATAGCCGACGCTTCGGGCAATGGTCCTTCTTCATGGCACTATAAAAGAAGAAGAGCCATCGTCTGAGATATCACCCATTTTATATATGTATTTTTTGTTCCCCCATTAAAGTCAAAGTGTGTATTGACGTGGAACACGTTGAGCAGTATTGCTAACTGCGCTTGTGCACCCCTGCCAACGCAGCAGCATCACCACTAGGGGATTTGCTTAATGGCATCGAAACTTTACACTCAACATCTCTATCGTGCTGGGTGACCTTGACGGGAGCCGTCGTGACCCCGCGTGGCACACACGTGGCCTCGCGGAGAGGCAGGAGGGGGATGGAGATTAATGATGATTTATCTTCCCGCACGCAGCGTTCTGCAGGCAGAAGATGAAAACAAGAGGCTACTCATTGGCGTGTGGAGCTTCGATCGGCAAAGCCGGTGAGTCCCAGTCACAGCGAGCAAGGAGAGCATGTGGAGGGGGAGTGGAGTGAGATGAGAGGTGAGAGGCAGGAGAGTGCGTGGAGGGGAGGAGAGTGAGATGAGAGGGGAGAGGTAGGAGAGTGCGTGGAGGGGAGTAGAGTGAGATGAGAGGGGAGAGGCAGGAGAGTGCGTGGAGGGGAGTAGAGTGAGATGAGAGGGGAGAGGCAGGAGAGTGCGTGGAGGGGAGTAGAGTGAGATGAGAGGGGAGAGGTAGGAGAGTGCGTGGAGGGGAGTAGAGTGAGATGAGAGGGGAGAGGCAGGAGAGTGCGTGGAGGGGAGTAGAGTGAGATGAGAGGGGAGAGGTAGGAGAGTGTGTGGAGGGGAGTAGAGTGAGATGAGAGGGGAGAGGCAGGAGAGTGCGTGGAGGGGAGTAGAGTGAGATGAGAGGGGAGAGGTAGGAGAGTGTGTGGAGGGGAGTAGAGTGAGATGAGAGGGGAGAGGCAGGAGAGTGCGTGGAGGGGAGTAGAGTGAGATGAGAGGGGAGAGGCAGGAGAGTGCGTGGAGAGGGAGTAGAGTGAGATGAGGGGAGAGGCAGGAGAGTGTGTGGAGGGGAGTGAAGTGAGATGAGAGGGGAGAGGCAGGAGAGTGCGTGGAGGGGAGTAGAGTGAGATGAGAGGGGAGAGGCAGGAGAGTGCGTGGAGGGGGAGTGGAGTGAGATGAGAGGGGAGAGGCAGGAGAGTGTGTGGAGGGGAGTGGAGTGAGATGAGAGGGGAGAGGCAGGAGAGTGTGTGGAGGGGAGTGGAGTGAGATGAGAGGGGAGAGGCAGGAGAGTGTGTGGAGGGGAGTGGAGTGAGATGAGAGGGGAGAGGCAGGAGAGTGTGTGGAGGGGAGTAGAGTGAGATGAGAGGGGAGAGGCAGGAGAGTGCGTGGAGGGGAGTAGAGTGAGATGAGAGGGGAGAGGCAGGAGAGTGCGTGGAGGGGGAGTAGAGTGAGATAAGGGGAGAGGCAGGAGAGTGTGTGGAGGGGAGTGAAGTGAGATGAGCGGGGAGAGGCAGGAGAGTGCGTGGAGGGGAGTAGAGTGAGATGAGAGGGGAGAGGCAGGAGAGTGCGTGGAGGGGAGTAGAGTGAGATGAGAGGGGAGAGGCAGGAGAGTGCGTGGAGGGGGAGTAGAGTGAGATGAGGGGAGAGGCAGGAGAGTGTGTGGAGGGGAGTGAAGTGAGATGAGAGGGGAGAGGCAGGAGAGTGCGTGGAGGGGAGTAGAGTGAGATGAGAGGGGAGAGGCAGGAGAGTGCGTGGAGGGGAGTAGAGTGAGAAGACAGGGGAGAGGCAGGAGAGTGTGTGGAGGGGAGTAGAGTAACATGAGAGGGGAGAAGCAGGAGAGTGCGTGGAGGGGAGTAGAGTGAGATGAGAGGGGAGAGGCAGGAGAGTGCGTGGAGGGGAGTAGAGTGAGATGAGAGGGGAGAGGCAGGAGAGTGCGTGGAGGGGAGTAGAGTGAGATGAGAGGGGAGAGGCAGGAGAGTGCGTGGAGGGGAGTGGAGTGAGATGAGAGGGGAGAGGTAGGAGAGTGCGTGGAGGGGAGTAGAGTGAGATAACAGGGGAGAGGCAGGAGAGAGCGTGGAGGGTAGTAGAGTGAGATGAGAGGGGAGAGGTAGGAGAGTGCGTGGAGGGGAGTAGAGTGAGATGAGATGGGAGAGGTAAGAGAGTGTGTGGAGGGTAGTAGAGTGAGATGAGAGGGGAGAGGTAGGAGAGTGCGTGGAGGGGAGTAGAGTGAGATGAGAGGGGAGAGGCAGGAGAGTGCGTGGAGGGGAGTAGAGTGAGATGAGAGGGGAGAGGCAGGAGAGTGCGTGGAGGGGAGTAGAGTGAGATGAGAGGGGAGAGGCAGGAGAGTGCGTGGAGGGGAGTAGAGTGAGATTAGAGGGGAGAGACAGGAGAGGGCATGGAGGGGAGTAGAGTGAGATGAGAGGGTAGAGGCAGGAGAGTGTGTGGAGGGGAGTAGAGTGAGATGAGAGGGGAGAGGTAGGAGAGTGTGTGGAGGGGAGTGGAGTGAGATAAGAGGGGAGAGGCAGGAGAGGGCGTGGAGGGGAGTAGAGTGAGCTGAGAGGGGAAAGGCAGGATAGTGCGTGGAGGGGAGTAGAGTGAGAAAAGAGGGTATAGGCAGGAGAGAGCGTGGAGGGGAGTGGAGTGAGATGAGAGGGGAGAGGCAGGAGAGAGCGTGGAGTGAGATGAGAGGGGAGAGGCAGGAGAGTGCATGGAGGGGAGTGGAGTGAGATGAGAGGGGAGAGGTAGGAGAGTGCGTGGAGAGGAGTAGAGTGAGATGAGAGGGGAGAGGCAGGAGAGTGCATGGAGGCTGGAGAGTGGATGCAGGAGAGTGCGTGGAGGGGAGTGGAGTGAGATGAGAGGGGGAGGCAGGAGAGAGCATGGAGGGGAGTGGAGTGAATCCGGAGCGTTCAGCGGTGCCCGTTTGCTGTCGCAGGCACAGCGAGCTGCTGGGATGCATGAGCTTTGGCGTCCGTTCGCTGATGATGGCGGCCAAGGTACTCATGGGCACTGGGGGTGCATCGCACGTTTCGCTCGCCTTCATCGCGTGGGTCTGGCCACGTTGTAGCAGTTGGAGTCTTGAGGCACCCCCCTCTAAAACTCGCTTATTGGAGAGTGGCGAGGTCAAGCTGTTGCTAGAGGATTGGCTCAGCACCACCATCACCACCACCATCTCCGAAATTATCACCAGCATCACCTTTCGATGCATGCACCTACCCACCAACCCAAACACCATCACCTCCACCACGGACCACCACCACCATCACCACCCTATCCACACACCCACCGACCTTAACACCACCACCAACCACAAAAACAAACCTACCCAGACACCCACCCACCAGAACACCATCACCACCACCCACCCAGCATCACCTCGCCCCTCACACACCCGCCCAAACTTCATCACCACTGCTACTCAACCATCAATCCACCAGAATCACCCAACCACCACCACTACCACCACCCAAAAATCATCCCACCATCCACGCACTTCAACCACCACCCTCTCACCTCACGAGACATCACCCACCGACCAATATCCTCCACCCTCCACAATCACCACCGCTGTCCCCCACTGCTCCCCCCCCACTGCCGCCATGCCGTAGGACGTGAGTGGCTGGTACTACTTGCTGGCCGAAGAGCTGGGCCGCACCAAGCACCTCAAGGTTGCCACGCGGCGCTCCAGGAACCACAGAGGTGAGGATGTCGTTAAAAAAAAACATGGACGGCGGAGCTGGACGTGGACCCCGGTTGGCTTAGGGGTCAGAGACGTGGACCGGCACGGCGGAGAGGCCCGGTTTCACTCTGGGTTTTGGTCGCTGCCTGTGGTTAAACCGGGTTCTCTGGTGACAGTGAGTTTATGGTCTCAGGCCGGTCACTAAGGACTTGCACAGAGACCCATAGACTCACACATACCCATAGACGCACACAGAGACCCATACCCTCATACAGAGCCCCATAGACTCATACAGAGACCCATACCCTCATACAGAGCCCCATAGACTCACATAGAGACCCATAGACTCACACAGAGACCCATAGACTCACATAGAGACCCATAGACTTACACAGAGACCCATAGACTCACACAGAGACCCATAGATTCACACATACCCATAGACTCATATAGAGTCCCATAGACTCACATAGAGACCCATATACTCGCATAGAGACCCATAGACTCACATAAAGACCCATAGACTCACATAGAGACCCATTGACTCCCATATAAACCCATAAACTCACACAAAGACCCATAGACTCACACAGAATCTCATAGACTCAGATAGAGAACCATAGACTCACACAGAGACCCATAGACTCACCTAGAGACCCATATATTCAAATAGAGACCCATCGACTCACATAGAGACCCAAAGACTTACATAGGGACCTACTGACCGATGTTGCTATGGATGGAAAGCAGAGATCCCGGAGAAAACTGAATGTATTCTGCTTTGTTTGAGTTGATTTGTCATTCATTGTGCTGCCAATGCGGTTGCAGCAGCAGCGGCTGCGGCAGCCATCTGTTTGAATGAATCTGATGTTTACGATTCCAGACAGGCTCGGGCAAAGTTCATGGCCGGCATCAGCGAACGTCTCTTCCTGTGGCCAGCACACGGTGAAGGTGAGTGCGTGCAGGCGAGCGCACCGGCTATCGCCGCAAAGTTCTGACGCGCGTGAATTCACGGCATCTTTTATATGCGGCTACGTCCCCGCTGTCACGGTGCGCTGGGTAGGCGGCACGGAAATCTGCATACGATTCCTTCCCTGACTTGTTCTTTTGTCCAAGGTCATGGTTTCGCGCGGAGCTGAGGGTTTTGGATTCACGATCCACGGCAAGGATCCCGTGCGCGTTCAAAGCGTCGACTCAGGCAAGTGCGAGCCCTGTCTGCGAAGGCTCAACAGGGACACGCGCACACGGGCACACGCTCGGTGAGCTGGCATCCCCTCCCGCCCTTAGCCCCCACCTACTCTTAACTTGGCCGACGCCCACTCGCCCGCCAGCACCCGGGCCCCCATCGCGTTCGCCGACAGCACCGCGGCCTTAAGGGAATAGAGGCGACTTCTCGGGCGACGGCCCTGACACAGAGCGACGTAGAGAGAGGGGGGGCGGGAGCATCATCATCGCGTGATTGCTCGGTCGATGGAGGGGTCGGTGGGGGGGGCGGGATTGGGGGGGCTGTGGAGGGGTTACCCCATCGTTGTTGTCGTGTGTAAAGAGGCAGCGCGATCGAACGATGACGTCAGCGTTGGTGCTCCCCGCGGTGCAGGGAGCCCGGCCGAGAGTGCGGGCCTGCGGCCGCTGGACGCCATTTTGGAGCTGAACGGGCGGCCCGTGTCCACGTGGAGCTGCGAGGAGCTCGCCTTCTCCATCCAGTGAGCAGCGGAGAGAGCACGCACGTGCACACGCGAGCATACGCGCACACATACACACGCACACACGCACGCACTTGTGCCCAAGTGCCACGACGGTTTTTTGAGCCGGCAGCTCCACTCTTACACAGCCCCGCCCACTGCTCAGGGAACCCCGCCTACTGCTCAGTTAGCCCTGCCCACTGCTCAGGGAACCCCACCCACGACTCAGGTAACACCACCGCTGGAGAAAAGCCTCCCCAAGCATCCCCCCAATGTTGTATATCTACTTACCTCTCACGTAGTTAATTCACCTACACTGGAGTGCGTGCCTGCAAATATTGTACCTGCCTATCAATGCACACGCGTTTCTGTCTGTCGATATTTACCCGCTGCACTGATGTTCTATTAAGAAGGGCCGTTGGAGAAACGTCGACTGTTGTATCTTTTTCCTTTTACAGCCACGCACATGAACGGTGTTATTGATGGACGCGTTGGTTATTGTTGACTGTGCCTGTGCACCACCGCCAACGACGCAGCAGCAGCAGCGCCACAAACATAATTACTGGCATAAGGCACTACCACTAGAGTAAGAGGTACACCTATCCATGCAACGCGCCTCTCTTGCAGTTACTGCCCGCACAACGTGGTGTTGGGGGTGGAGCGGTGCCCTGGCTGGGGGCGGCCGGTCACCACGGACAACGCACTGCAGCCATCCTCCCAGCATGCACCTGGCTGCGACAGGACCTCCGGGGTTAGAGGTCGCCGGAGCCGAACGGCGGGAAAGGAGAACGAAGCTCCCGTGGGGAAAAGGGAGCCGGGCAAAGGCGTCATACCAAAGGAATACTTCCCGGCCTCAGGGGTAAATGCCGCTCATTGTAGTCACGGTTCTGAAGAATCAAACTTCTGGGCAGGTCGCGTACGTTAGGATCTGTGTCGTAACACCCTCAACCACCCCTTCGCCCGACACGGCCGATGAACTAACGCTGCCAATTTACCGCCGCTTCAGCGTCACACCAGCGGGGGTGGAGAGGGGGGGGGGCGTGGCTGGGGAAAAGCGATCCACGCCACTTTTGATGAAATATTTATTAATCGGGTTCGATAGCCGCTCGCGGGTAACGTCGGCGGCGAGCGGCGTCCGCACCGACTGGGTTCCCTCCCCCCGCACCGTGTCTGTCGTCAACACGTGGCGGCCAACGTGGGCGAAGTGGCGTTCAAATAACCACCACGGCTGATGCAGCCTTGGCGGGGGGGGGGGGGGTGTTTGGGAGTTCCTTAATCCAGCGGTGGATTGACAAGTGGCTGGATGCATCTTTTGGTCTGTCGCCGTCACTCTTGCTGCGTCGTGGCCTCTCCATGAATAATTTCCTTTTGTACTTCGACAGCTGACCAGGGCCGTGGCGTCCACCACACAGCTTCAACGCAGAGGTAATGTTCTCAGCGTGCCTTTGTCGTGACACGTGGCTCAGCCGGGAGAGTCTCAGGACTCTCTTCGAGGAGGGTCCTGCCACGGTTTCACAGCGGGAGAGCGAGGCTGCTGCTCAATTGCGCGCAATCACAATTGAGCACTTTGTTTATTTAACGACTGGAGGAAGACCGGAGCGCCCGGAGGAACCCCCATGCGGAATAGGGGGAGAGCGTAGAAATCCGGGTGAACTAAGATCCCCCCCGCGTAGCCACGACAAGTGGTGATAGCGAGCAGCACCTATGAAGGTCGGCACGGCACACGAGGGGGTGGGCGGCCGGCACCACGTCTGGTCATCTTTGTTGGCAGCATTTGAGGCTGAGGCAGCCTAGGGGAGGCCCAGGACCGGTAGGCACACGCACTCGCACTCTGCAGAAAGAGGGTAGAACACACAAACTCCACGCGGAAAGGTTTCCCAAGTCGAGAATCGAACTCGGACGCATATTTGCTGTGAGGCCCGATTGGTACCATTGCAATGGACGTAAATCCACCGCCCCTGTCGACCCGGTGGTCTAAACGGTTTCGCAGCAGTGAGTCACGTGGTGACGAGGTGACGACCAGGCACTCCCGCCTCTTGCAAGACATTTCGGCCACCGTGGAAGAGTAGACCAAGTGACGCCCGGCGAAGCGGCGCCATCCAGCGGCTCGCTCCGGATTCGGCACGCTTCGGGCTCCTCGCGACCCGCGTCTCGGCGCTCCGCAGATACATTTTCCGCGGGGTGGGCGTGAGCCGGCACTTGCAGGGGCTGCGCCTCCGTACCCAGCTGAGGGCCACGCCATGGGAACTGATCGCGAACCCCCCCTCCCCCCCCCCCGAACAGCCGGCGCTGCGGAGAGGTCGCGGGAGGGGGCGGCCTCGTGCCCACGCTCTCCATCCGCGTCATCGTCGGCGTCGTCGTCAACGGCGGCGTCCTCATCGTCGTCGTCGTGTTGCTGCTGCTCCAGATCGGGGTGCTGCGCCTCCAGCGACGCTCGTGGTGGGGGGCCGCCCCCCCACGGTGTGCGTCGCCCACCGCAGGCCGCACGTCCCGTCATGGAGATAGGTTGGTTGAGTTCTGGGGGGCGGCGGTGGGGGGGGGGGTGATTTGATAGTTTTTGTTGTTGTTGTTTATTTCTTAGTACCGGGCGAGGATCCGTGATGGTAGCAGTTTCGTTGACACCCATTGCCAACAACCAAATAGGCACTAAGCACTGAGGATCACGGTTCGAATCCAGAAGGCCACCCCGGTTATTACCGCGGGCCATCGTCATTGCGGTAAATATTTTGCCCAAAGTCCAAAAATGTCAAAAAAATTATGTTTTACTCAATTGAGATTCGACGCACATCGGCAGCATTATTCCCGACCGGCAGACTTGGGCCAACACTGTTGCTGCGAAAGAGACTCCGCTCATCCCAACTTGGAACCCCACCGGGGCACGATGCCGTGCCAAGTCCGTTGCGTAACCTCGCTCGGACACTTGGAGGATGGATCCCGGATGCGGCAACAGCAGCAGCAGTTCTGGCAGCAGATCAATCACCGGGGGTCCGCTGTCTTTAGTTTGTTGACCTTCCCCCCGCACCTCCGATTTAGCACGGTTGGCTTGCAATAAAGAAACGGGACAATACGAAATGAACTCGGCAATTATATATATAGATTTTTTTTTATCTTTTGATAAGCACAATCCTCGTGCGCACAGCCGGGACAAAGCGTGGCACGTCTCGGGCACGCCGCTAATGCACATTTCTCCCCGCGGCAAATGGAGCGCGAAGTTTCTCGATCGCTGCCACAGAGTGTAGCCTCCACAAGGCGGCTCCTTCTCACCCACGGTCAGCGCCGCTCCCCCTCGCTGCCTTGCTCAGTCAGTCGCTCGCTCGCTCGGTCGGTTGGTCACTCAGTCGCTCGCCTGTACGCTCGGATGCTCGCTCGCTCATTTGGTCGCTCGGTCGCTCCATCACTCAATCGATTGCTCGCTTGCACGTTCGGTCGCTCGCTCAGTCGATCGATTGCTCGCACGTTCGGTCGCTCGCTCACTCGGTCGCTCGCTCGCTCACTCATTTGGTTGCTCGGTCGCTCAGTCGCTCCGTCACTCGATCGATTGCTCACTCGGTTGCTCGCTCGCTCGCTCATTTGGTTGCTCGGTCGCTCAGTCGCTCCGTCACTCGATCGATTGCTCACTCGGTTGCTCGCTCGCTCGCTCATTTGGTTGCTCGGTCGCTCAGTCGCTCCGTCACTCGATCGATTGCTCACTCGGTTGCTCGCTCGCTCGCTCATTTGGTTGCTCGGTCGCTCAGTCGCTCCGTCACTCGATCGATTGCTCACTCGGTTGCTCGCTCGCTCGCTCATTTGGTTGCTCGGTCGCTCAGTCGCTCCGTCACTCGATCGATTGCTCACTCGGTTGCTCGCTCGCTCGCTCATTTGGTTGCTCGGTCGCTCAGTCGCTCCGTCACTCGATCGATTGCTCACTCGGTCGCTCGCTCGCTCGCTCATTTGGTTGCTCGGTCGCTCAGTCGCTCCGTCACTCGATCGATTGCTCACTCGGTTGCTCGCTCGCTCGCTCATTTGGTTGCTCGGTCGCTCAGTCGCTCCGTCACTCGATCGATTGCTCACTCGGTTGCTCGCTCGCGACAGCACACTTGGACCCACCACGTGGACGGATTCCGGCGATGTTCCGCTGCGAAAGTACCGGCCGATGGGAGTGGAACGGCACGGCGGCGTGTCGGGCGGGCCGCAAATACGGGCGATTCGTGGCATTTTGAGACATTTGTTAAAGTGCCTTGCAAGTGCGAATAATAATCATGATTGTTGTTGCTGTTGCTGTTGTAGTGTGTTGAGTTGAGTGGAATATGCGGACGGAAGGCAAGCTTTGTAAAACATCTACAGCTCGGGTCTCACGTTGAGTGACAATCCTTGCCGGCTGCCTCCGTGAGCAAAGAGCGTGGGGGGGTTTGTCCGTTGCTCTGTGCACGTGCGGAATAATTCGCGCGTTTTATTTTCGTTTAAAAAACCAAAAAACTTTATTAGTCGATCGTGATTTTTCACGGGTAAACATTTATTTGTATCTATTTTTATAATGCATATATATAAAAAAAACTTTCCAGGTGGCCCATTGTAACCGACGGGAGAGTGGTGTCGTGGCATGGGCTCCCCAAAGCCCGCAACCGCAACTCCGTGCCACACCGCCCCTGAGCGGCGCGGCGCGGCGAGCCGCCCCCGCCGAGAGGCAACAGAGACATCCGCCCACGCCGGCGGGGGTCTCTGTATTTTGGTGGCCGCTTGCACCGCCCTAGCCGCCTGCTCGTCTCTGCTCACGCGCTGCGGGTGTGCGTCGGGGTGTGTGTTGGGGTGTGCGTCGGGGTGTGCGTCGTCGTTTTGTTCCCGTGTGGCTGCTGCGTGCTCACGTGTGGTAGTAGTAGCAGCAGCAGCAGTATTAGCTGCGTGCTCACGTGTAGTAGTAGTAGCAGCAGCAGTAGTATTAGCTGCGTGCTCACGTGTGGTGGTAGCAGCAGCAGTAGTATTAGCTGCGTGCTCACGTGTGGTGGTAGTAGCAGCAGTAGTATTAGCTGCGTGCTCACGTGTAGTAGTAGCAGCAGCAGTAGTATTAGCTGCGTGCTCACGTGTGGTAGTAGTAGCAGCAGCAGTAGTATTAGCTGCGTGCTCACGTGTGGTGGTAGCAGCAGCAGTAGTATTAGCTGCGTGCTCACGTGCGGTAGTAGTAGCAGCAGTAGTATTAGCTGCGTGCTCACGTGCGGTAGTAGTAGCAGCAGCAGTATTAGCTGCGTGCTCACGTGTGGTAGTAGTAGCAGCAGCAGTAGTATTAGCTGCGTGCTCACGTGTGGTAGTAGTAGCAGCAGTAGTATTAGCTGCGTGCTCACGTGTGGTGGTAGCAGCAGCAGTAGTATTAGCTGCGTGCTCACGTCCGGTTGTTGTGTTCTTGTCTTCGTAGGGGTCAAGACGGATCGCCGCTATTCCGTCGGAGGTCACGAGCCCGTAAGTACTCGCTTACATTCCTGTTGCAGCAGCGGTAGTAGCAGTAGTAGTCAGAGAAGCAGCAGTATTAGTAACATCAGTCGTAGTAGTAGCAGTAGTAGTCCTAGAAGCAGCAGTATTAGTAACATCAGTAGTAGTCGTAGAAGCAGCAGTTAGTAACATCAGTAGTAGTAGAAGCAGTAGCAGTAGTAACAGCAGTAGTAGCAGCAGTAGTAGCAGTATTAGCAGCATTCGTAGTAGCAGTAGTAGTCGTAGAAGCAGCAGTATTAGTAACATCAGTCGTAGTAGTAGCAGTAGCAGTCCTAGAAGCAGCAGTATTAGTAACATCAGTAGTAATCGTAGAAGCAGCAGTTAGTAACATCAGTAGTAGTAGAAGCAGTAGCAGTAGTAGCAGCAGTCGTGGTAACAGCAGTAGTAGCAGCAGTAGTAGCAGTATTAGCAGCATTCGTAGTAGTAGCAGTAGTAGCAGCAGTAGTATCAGTAGTAGTGGTAGCAGTATTAGCAGCATTCGTAGTAGTAGCAGTATTATCCGCAGTAGTAGTGGTAGAAGTATTAGCAGCAGTAGTAATAGCAGCAGTAGTAGTGACAGCAGTAGTAGTAGTATCAGCAGCAGTAGTATTATCAGTAGTAGTGACCACAGTAGTAGCAGCAGTAGTAGCAGCAGCAGCAATAGTAGTGACAACAGTAGTAGTAGCAGTAATAGCAGCAATAGTAGCAGCAGCAGCAGTAGTAATAGCAGCAGTAGTGACAACAGTAGTAGTAGCAGCAGCAGTAGTAGCAGCAGCAACAGTAGTAGCAGCAGTAGTAGTAATAGCAATAGTAGTGACAACAGTAGTAGTAGTAGCAGCAGCAGCAGTAGTAGCAGTAGCAGCAGCAGCAGTAGTAATAGCAGTAGTAGTGACAACAGTAGTAGTAGCAGCAGCAACAGCAGTATTATCAGCAGCAGTAGTAGTGACATCAGTAGTAGTGACCGCAGTAGCAGCAGCAACAGCAGTAGTTAGTAGCAGCAGTAGTAGCAAGTGGAGAGTGACACGGAGATGACAGACCGCCTTGTGAGTGAGCGACGTGCCGGCCCGTGCCGCGTGGTGGTGATGTGGTCGTGCAGGAGAAGAAGGCGCCCGGCGTCTGCGGAGACTCCTTCCCAGACAAGCGGCGGTGCCGGCTCCGACTCGGGGCCCACATGGCCGAGTGGAAGAAGCCGTCGTCGTCGTCGTCGTCGTCGTCGTCGTCGTCCGACGATGATGTTGACGAGATTGACACGCAACCTCTCGGCCACCGCCAACACCATCAACGTCATCGGCATCATCAGCGTCATCGCCTCTCTGTGGACCACGGCCGAGGTTCTGCCGGTGCTGGAAAGGCCACAGATGCTAAGGTGAGGGGGGGGGGGTGCGGGGTTCCATTTAAAAAAAAAATTACACTGCGGGCCACACGTGAGAGGGGGAAACACTCGATCCCATGCACACGGAACACGGCTCCACCCCAACGCCCCACGGGAAGGGAGTTTCACAACGACATCTGTGTGTGCGGTGATCCGCTAACCCCTCGCTGTTGCTGCTGCCTCATCCGCAGCGCTGGGTCAATACAGGCAGCCACGTGCAGCAGCGGCAGCAACAGCGTAGCCACTGCCACCACCGCCATCACCACCACCGCCACCACCACCGCCATCACTACCACCATTACCACCACCGCCACCACCGCCATCACCGCCACTACCGCCACCACCACCGCCATCACCACCACCGCCATGACCACCGCCACCACCACCGCCACCACTGCCATCACCACCATCACCACCGCCATGACCACCACCACCGCCACTGCCGCCACCGCCACTACCGCCACCACCACCGCCACCACCACCGCCATGACCACCACCATCACCACCGCCACGACCACCGCCACCGCCACTACCGCCACCGCCACTACCGCCACCGCCACTACCGCCACCACCACCGCCATCACCACCACCGTCACCACCACCGCCATGACCACCACCACTGCCACCGCCACCACTGCCATCACCACCATCACCACTGCCATCACCACCATCATCACCGCCATGACCACCACCACCACCGCCACCACCGTCACCACCGCCATGACCACCACCACTGCCATCACCACCATCATCACCGCCATGACCACCACCACCACCGCCACCACCGCCACCACCGCCATGACCGCCGCCCGGCTTGACCAGGCGGCTTTGCCAGCTCGTGAGTGCAGTGGCCTCCCACGCAGAGAGGAGGGGGCCATGGGGGGGGCATGGGGGGGGGGCATGGGGGGGGGGCCGAGGGGGAGGGTGGGGGAGGGGAGGGTTGCGGCGCACGAGCGCGGTGACAAGGACCACTGCTTGCTGTGTGGGGGACGCGTGTGTGTGTGCCCAAGTGCGCGTGTGTGTGTGTGCCCGTGTGTGTGTGTGCCCGTGTGTGTGTATGTGCCCGAGTGCGCGTGTGTGTGTGCCCGTGTGTGTGTGTGCGCGCGTGTGTGCGTGTGTGTGCCCGTGTGTGTGCGTGTGTGTTTGCCCGTGTGTGTGTGTGCCCGTGTGCGTGTGTGCCCGCGTGTGTGTGTGTGCCCGTGTGTGTGTGTGGCCGTGTGCGTGTGTGCCCGTGTGTGTGTGTGTGTGCCCGTGTGTGCGTGTGCGCGTGTGTGTGTGTGCCCATGTGTGTGTGCCCGTGTGTGTGTGCTCGTGAGTGTGTGTGGGTGTGTGTGCCCGTGTGCGTGTGTTGTGCCCGTGTGTGTGCGTGTGTGTATGCCCGTGTGTGTGTGTGCCCGTGTGTGCGTGTACTCGTGTGGGGAGCGGTAGTGTAGCGGTTAGCGTGCTGCGCTATGAACCTGGCGACCCGGGTTCGATTCCCGCTCACGGCTAACACCAGTGACGATTATCTGAACCGGTCCTGGGCCTCCCCTAGGTCGACTCAGCCTTAAATGAGTACCTGGTGCGGTGTGTAAACATCGCCACTGGGGAGACAAAGGCGGTCGGGCGTGGTGCTGGCCACCCACCCCCTCGTGTACCGTTCCGGCCTTCATAGGTGCTCGCTAACAGCACTTGCCCCTACAGTCTGTTAAGGCTATACGGGGGATCTTTGTCTTGTTTTGTGTACTCGTGTGCGCGTGCGTGTGTGTGTGCCCGTGTGTGTGTGTGCGTGTGTGTGCCCGTGTGCGTGTGTGCGTGTCTGTACGTGAGTGCCCGTGTGTGTGTGTGCCCGTGTGCGTGTGGGGAGTGGTGGTGTAGCGCTTAGCGCGCTGCGCTATGAACCCGGCGACACGGGTTCGATTCCCGCTCACGGCCAACACCGGTGACGATTATCTGAACCGGTCCTGGGCCTCCCCTAGGTCGACTCAGCCTCAAATTAGTTACCTGGTGCGATGTGTAAAAATCGCCACTGGGGAGACAAAGGCGGTCAGTCGTGGTGCTGGCCACCCACCCCCTCGTGTTCATAGGTGCTCGCTAACAGCACTTGCCCCTACATTCTAAGGCTATATGGGGGATCTGTCTTTATCTTTGCGTGTGTGTAGATCTTCTCTGTGTCTACGCATGCCCCCCGGGACTGCTTGTTAAGTGCGTGCGTGTCGGCGTGTCGGCGTGTGTGTGTGTGCGTGCACGCGTGCGCCAATTTTGTTGCGCGTGTGCATGACCTCATGTGAACGCGAGAGCGGTGGCACAACGGTTAGCGCGCTACGCTGCGCAACCTAGCGACCAGAGTTTTGATTCCCGCTCACGGTCCTGGGCCTCCCCTAGGTCGACTCAGCCTCAAATGAATGCCTGGCGCGAAACGTAAACATCTCTGCTCGGGAGACAAAGGCGGTCGGGCGTGGTGTTGGCCACCCATCACTACCGTGCGCCGTGCCGGCCTTCATAGCTGCTGCTCACTAACAGCACTCGGTTCGGCAGTCCGTTCACGATGAGAGGGGAGAGGCATGCAGGGGCGAATCCATAGGCGGTGATGAATGTAACCTTTTTGAGATGATGATGTAGATGATGATGATGCATAACAAGCAGTTTGCTAAATTCATCTTTTCTAAATCTTATTCGACAGATCTCAGATCTATCGCTCCTTGCAGCTGAGCTGCAGGCAACAATTGTGGGTCCTACAAAAAAGGTGATGAGCTCTAGGATGGAGGTGGATCCCAGGGTGGAGGTGGGTGCCAGGGCGGAGGTCAGTCCCAAGATAGAAGTTGGTCCCAGGATGGAGGTGGGCTCCAGGACTGAGCTGGGCTCCATGACGGAGCTGGGCTCCATGACGGAGCTGGGCTCCATGACGGAGGTGGGCTCCAGGACGGAGGTGGGCTCCAGGACGGAGGTGGGCTCCAGGGCGGAGGTGGGCTCCAGGGCGGAGGTGGGCTCCAGGGCGGAGGTGGGCTCCAGGGCGGAGGTGGGCTCCAGGGCAGAGGTGGGCTCCAGGGCGGAGGTGGGCTCCAGGGCGGAGGTGGGCTCCAGGGCGGAGGTGGCACTGCAACACGGCCGTGTCTCCAGCGCCACGGCCGCTTGGGACGTCGGGCCCGGCTCGGAGCTCCGTCGTGAGGGCCACCGTAACGAGCACGCAGCCATCAAGGAGACGTGCATGCTGGGACACAGGTGAGGGTGTTCACTGCACGTGTCATGTTCAGTCGGGGTTCATGCACGGCGGAGGAGGAAAAGGAGGGGGCCTCTGGGTGGCTCGGAGGTCAGAGGCACACGGAGCTCGCACCACTGGGAGCCTGGGTTCGAATCCACGTTCCAGCTGCTGCCTTTGGTGCAGTGAGTTGATGGTCTGAGCCCGGTCACCAGTGACTCGCGCAGAGACTCATAGATGCACATAGAGATTCGTTGAATGGCATAGAGGCCCATAGACTCGCACAGAGACCAATGTGCTGTCTAGAGTCCCACCGAGTTTAGTAAATGTAGCCGCCACCACAGGCAGCAGATGAGAAAAAGAAAGAGCCGCAGGCTGTACCAATAGCGTGCGCGGGTGAGCGGTGTGCAGTCCGAATTGGTTCATCGGCCCAGCCACCGCCCGCAGCAAGCAGCACCGCCACGGTGGCGACTCGTTACGTTCCGGCGACCGTCGCCACCCAGCGTCGTCTGACCGGGTCTGGCGGCAGGCCGGTTTCGCCCCCGTTGGGACTGGCCAGCGGCGTCGCACGCTCGCAACCTCTCCGCCTTGTCCAGACCACCGCCCTAACCGGAACGTTGCGGGTCACTGCAGGGAGGCCCCGGCAGAGGCCGCGACAGTGACAGTGACGGCGGCGGCGACGACGTGGCGTCGCGCGCGCAGCGAGGACGACCTCCTGGCGGCCACGGCGGCCGGGCGCCGCGGGGGCGCCACCCGGGAGGCGTGGCCTCGCGCCAGAGTGGGCGCCACAGCTGGCGCCGCCTCTACGGACGCGGGGCGAGAGGCGGCCGGGGGGCGGCACTTCCTGTCCAGAGGGAGGGCGTCAATGGGAGGCGACGACCCGGCCGTCTACGCGCCCTTCCTCAACTTCCAAAAGGTGAGGGGGCGACGCCCGGGGTTCTACGTTTAGCGCGCCCGGCACCACCACGTCCGGTATGCCTCCACTCTACACACGAGTTGTGGTTATTAATAGTCGCGTGCAAAACCTGCTCCGGTCTACCGGCGGCCCCGGAAATATTCCGGTAGAAATTAGGCCCTGGACTTGCACGAGAGTCCCGTAGGCTCAGATAGAGAGCCGTATTCCTGTATATAGTGAGTCCACCAGACGAAGGTTGAGATGACACAACTCATCTTGATTTTCCGTGCGAGCTCACGCCGCGTGCGACCACTCCTCTCCAAATCCCACCAGGAGGCGCCTCCATCGCCCCGCCTCATCCGGTGACGTCACCACTCCCCTCCTGGGCGTTCCCTGTCTCTCTCATGCCCCCTCGCCTTCACTTTCCTTTCGTCCTCGAGGTCACCTTTAACAGAAACCTGGGATCCCCTGGGTATTTATACCCCCGGATCGCGACAGTATTAACGCTACATCTGCATAGAGACTCGTAGAAACAAATAGAGAGCCCATAGCTCTACGTAGGGACTCACGAATTCCTCGTTGTATGTGTGAAAGTTGAACTTCTTTCGCACCGCCAACCGTGCTAATCGGAGGGGTGGTGGAAGGATGACACTAAACTAAACACAAAAACAAGCAGTTCTAAACAAATGAGTTTTCAATCTAAAAATAATGTTGTCAGTTCTAAAGAATTACGGAAGCAAAGACTCACATATCGACCCTTAGACTCACATCTAGACCCGCACTCACATAGAGACCCATAGTATCGCATAGACTCACATTTAGACCCGCACTCACATAGAAACCCATAGACTCGCACAAAGCCCCATAGACTCACACAGAAACCCATTTACTCACACAGAGACCCATAGACTCAGATAACCATAGACTCACACAGATACCCATAGACTCACATTTAAACCCATAGACTCACATAGAAACCAATTTACTCACATATAAACCCATAGACTCACATATAAACCCATATACTCACATTCACACCCATATACTAATATAGAAACGCATAGACTTACACAGAAACCCATAGACTCATATAGAGACTCACACGAGACCCATAGACTCATGCAGAGACCCATATACTCACATAGCGAACCATAGACTCAGATAAAGAAGCATAGACTTACACAGAGACCCATAGACTCACCTAGAGACCCATAGACAAACAACATACATGGGCTGAGTTGAGATGATTCTGGATTGCCATGTGTCTGGGCCGGTGCGGTGCCACCATCAGGAGGCTCTGCTCCAGAACCGGGGCGCCAGTGCAGGGGACGGCGCTGTCAGCCAGGGGCTCGGCGCAGACCTCGCGTGTGAAGCCCCCAAGCACAAGCGGCGAGCCACGGACATGTGAGTGAGAGTCCCTGCCCAGGCCATCGTCGTCATCATCATCTGTGTATGTGTTGGCACTGTGCGGGAAGCGGTGGTGCAGCGGTTAGCGCTACGCTGCGCGACGCAATCCGGCGACTTGAGTTCGATTCCCGCTCACAGCCAACACCGGTGACGATTATCTGCACCGGGCGTGGGCGTACCCTAGGTCGACTCGGCCTTAAATGAGTACCTGGTGCAGTGCGTAAACATTGCCACTGGGGAGATAAAAGTGACCGGGTGTGGTGTTGGCCATCCACTTCCTCGTGTGCCATTTTCGGCCTACATAGGTGCTCGCTAACAGCACTTGGAAGGTGATACGGGGGATCTTTTTCCTTTGTTGGCACAGTAGGGAGTAGAGCTGGTGCATCCACCAGTGATCTTAGTCGGTCAACCCATGGCACCTGCTGGGTCTGTCCCGTGACCTCCTGTCAGCAGAGATCCTTCGACGCTTTGCGTGCCCTCAAAGTGCACCTGGCCTGTCACAGGCGCCGTGGTGACGTCACCACCACTTACTGGTGAATGGCGGGTGTTGTTGTTGTTGTGGGTGGTGATGATATTCGGGTGGGTGGGTGGTTGTGTGGGTAGGGTGGTGGTCGGTGGTGGTGGTGGTGGTGGTGATGGTGGATGTAGATACTCATATTATCACGTAGCTTTACATGAAGAGTCCAAGACTCGTGTATGGAGCCAAACACTCATAGACTTCATAACCTGAGTGATATCCACCGCTTATTCCACAATCAGCAAAAGCATAAAGGTCACATTTATTGAGTTATTATTATTGTTGTTTAATGTTTAATTCTCTCACACACACGCACACACACACACGCACACACACGCACACACATGCACACACACGCTCGCGTTTCTCACCCCTTCCCGCTTTCAGAGCCAGAGATGTGAAAACTCGGCTGGGCTTTTTGCGTCGGAAACACGACGGGCAGTTAGCAGCGACGCCGACAGCTGGCCACGGGGAGACGTTCCTCGGCAGGCTCACTCGGGCCTCCAGGCAAGACCCCCCCTCACCCCCTCTCCCCTCCTTTACCGTAACACCGTTTAAGCCTCGCCAGCTGGCCGGTGGCCACATCCCCAGCTCTGCTGTGCTTCTGTTACTCAGGCATCGCCTGCTCCTCTCCCCTTACCCGTTAGGCACCATCCGATTGCCTGTTCCCTCTTCGGCTCGGCGCCTTTCCTTTTTAGGCCCCGCCCCCATTTTCTCGAGGGCCGCCTCTTCCTGTGCAGGCCCCGCCCCTTCCTGTGCAGACCTCGCCCCTTCTCACTGCCACAGGGTTGGGCTGCCTTGGGTCGTGGTTGGGGTAGTGGTGGGTGGGGTCAGTGGGGGGTAGTGGTGGGTGAAGTCAGTGGGGGGTAGTGGTGGGAGGAATCAGGGGAGTGTAGTTGTGGGGGTAGTCGTGGTGGAGTCAGTGGGGGGTAGTCGTGGTGGAGTCAGTGGGGGGTAGTGGTGGGTGGAGTCAGCAGGGGATCGTGGTGGGTGGAGTCAGTGGGGGGGTAGTGGTGGGTGGGCTCAGTGGGGGGTAGTGGTGGGTGGAATCAGGGGAGGGTCGTTGTGGGGGTAGTCGTGGTGGAGTCAGTGGGGGGTAGTGGTGGGTGGAGTCAGTGGGGGGGTAGTGGTGGGTGGAGTCAGCGGGGGGGTAGTGGTGGGTGGAGTCAGCAGGGGGTCGTGGTGGGTGGAGTCAGTGGGGGGTAGTGGTGGGTGGAGTGAGTGGGGTAGTGGTGGGTGGAGTGAGTGGGGGGTCGTGGTGGGTGGAGTAAGTGGGGGGTAGTGGTGGGTGGAGTCAATGGGGGATAGTGGGTGGCCTCAGCAGTCGTGGTGGGCGGGCTCAGTAGACCAATACTGACCTTGTTCACGTTCGTCACGCAGGCCGAGTGCGGAGGAGGTGATGAGCTGGAGCGAGTCTTTCGACAACGTCCTCTCTCACAAGCGTAAGTCTCATCAACGGCACCCTTACTCTCCCGGTGGCCCGTCGATGGGTCATATAGCGGCGCACCACCGTTGTTAGTATCCTGCGCGACGTTCTCGTAGCGGCGAGGACTGTCGCGACGGGAGGCGCCGCTGCGTTCGCAGGGCGGTGAAGCGGCCCAGCTGTATCCTCCGCTCGTTGCAGAGGTTTGTGGTTCAAATCCGGCGGGCCGCCATGGTTAATGCTGCGGCGTGCCTAGAAAATTTTGGCGGTTCACCGGTATTGTGTGCGCCCCGGTGGCTAGGAGATGTTAACTACCTCGCCTGGTATACAGAAGGTCGCGGGTTCGATCCTGACCCTGACGCCTGCTGTGCTTCTGGAGTTTGCGATGTCTCTCTCCCCGTGGTCACATGGATTTTTCTCCGGGTCCTCCGGTTTTACACCCTCCAGATTTAGAATCAACGAGACGCGTTCAGAGTATTTGGCTGCTGTAAATTTCCGCGTGATGATGATGATGATGAGCCACTTCATTGAGCTATAATTTGCGATGGCCTGGTCACTTCTGACAGTTTTGTTTAGAACCAAGCGAGCTGCCGATGAGACCCCGCGCGTCGAAACCGCTCTAGGAGGTCGGCACCGCTGCGATCGCCGTGCCATCCGAAACGCGACGTCGCTCCCCCCCGCACCACCACGCCCCTCCCCCCACCCCCTTTGTGACGTTGCCTTCCGCGTGCGTGGCGAGCAGATGGCGTGCGGCTGTTCCACGCCTTCCTGCGCAGCGAGTTCTCGGAGGAGAACCTCGAGTTCTGGCTGGCGTGCCGCGAGCACCAGCGGCTGGGATCGGCGTCGCGCCGATCGGCGCACGCCCGCAAGATCTACGGCGAGTTCGTGGCCACGCAGGCCCCACGCGAGGTGGGTGGGGGGAGGGGGATGTGCGGTCGCTTGGGGCCTGGTCGAGAGATTCTGTGTGACGTTGCTTCAGGATCAGGATGTTCGTGCGCGTTTGTTGAACTTCTTACGCACCGTACGTAGCCAAACCGTGCTTTATCGGAGGTGCGGGGAGGGGGGGGGCAGCGAAAAGCATTTAAAAATAAATGAGTTTCCAATCTAGATGTACACATCTTTATTCACACTGGAGGAATCTGATGAGCTATGAAGCTTTTCTTATCGCAGATGTCAAGGAGGGGCCAGTCGGAAAGTTACAGCAACGAATGATACGAAAAAAACGATAGGAGTGCAAAGTATAGGACTGGTAAGCAAATCACCGCAATCACCAGGGTTAGCCAATCTTTTTAGCCGATCTAGGGGAGGCCCAGGACCGGTTCAGATAACCGTCACTGGTGTTGGCTGTGAGAGGGAATCGAGCTCAGGTTGCCACGTTGCATCACACCACAACCACCACCACAACCACCACCACCACAACCACCACCACAACCACGACAACCACCACCACCACCACCATAACCACCACCACAACCACCACAACCACCACCACAACCACGACAACCACCACCACCACAACCACTACTATAACTACCACGACAACCACCACTACAACCACCACGACAACCACCACTACAACCACCACCACAACCACCACCACAACCACCACGACAACCACCACGACAACCACCACCACTACCACCACCACTACCATCACGACAACCACCACCACAACCACCACGACAACCACCACCACAACCACCACCATAACCACCACTACAACCACCACCACAACCACCACTACAACCACCACCACAACCACCACCACAACCACCAATACAACCACCACGACAACCACCACCACAACCACCACCACAACCACCACCACAACCACCACTACAACCACCACCACAACCACCACGACAACCACCACCACAACTACCACTATAACCACCACGACAACCACCACCACAACCACCACCACAACCACCACCACTACAACCACCACCACAACCACCACAACCACCACCACAACCACGACAACTACCACCACCACCATAACCACCACCACAACCACCACCACAACCACGACAACCACCACCACAACCACGACAACCACCACCACCACAACCACTACTATAACTACCACGACAACCACCACTACAACCACCACGACAACCACCACTACAACCACCACCACAACCACCACCACAACCACCACGACAACCACCAACACAACCACCACGACAACCACAACCACCACGACAACCACCACTACAACCACCACGACAACCACCACCACAACCACCACGACAACCACCACCACAACCACCACGACAACCACCACAACAACCACCACCACAACCACCACGACAACCACCACAACAACCACCACCACAACCACCACCACTACCACCACCACTACCATCACGACAACCACCACCACAACCACCACGACAACCACCACCACAACCACCACCATAACCACCACGACAACCACCACTACAACCACCACCACAACCACCACCACAACCACCACCATAACCACCACGACAACCACCACCACAACCACCACTACAACCACCACGACAACCACCACCACAACCACCACCACAACCACCACTACAACCACCACCACAACCACCACTACAACCACCACCACAACCACCACGACAACCACCACCACAACAACCACCACCACAACCACCACAACAACCACCACCACAACCACCACCACAACCACCACCACAACCACCACTACAACCACCACCACAACCACCACTACAACCACCACCACAACCACCACCACAACCACCACCACAACCACCACCACAACCACCACTACAACCACCACCACAACCACCACGACAACCACCACCACAACCACCACCACAACCACCACTACAACCACCACCACAACCACCACCACAACCACCACGACAACCACCACCACAACCACCACTACAACCACCACCACAACCACCACGACAACCACCACCACAACAACCACCACCACAACCACCACCACAACCACCACCACAACCACTACCACAACCACCACTACAACCACCACTACAACCACCACTACAACCACCACTACAACCACCACCACAACCACCACCACAACCACCACGACAACCACCACGACAACCACCACTATAACCACCACTATAACCACCACTACAACCACCACCATAACCACCACTACAACCACCACCACAACCACCACCACAACCACCACCACAACCACCACCACAACCACCACCACAACCACCACCACAACCACCACCGTGATAACCAACACCGCCGCCGTGGTCATGTCTCCGCCCACTGCCCGTGCCGCCGCCAGGTGAACCTGGACGCGATGACGCGAGCAGCCGTGTCGGAGCGCCTGCGGGCAGCGCCGGCGTCGCCGGGCGCCTTCCGCTTGGCGCAGGCGCGGATCCGCGGCCTCATGGAGGGCGACTCGTACCCCCGCTTCCTGCGCTCCGCCGCCTACGCCCAGCTGAGCGCCACGGCCGCCCCCCGGCATCCTCCGCCGGCGCCGACGCCGCCGTCCCGCCGCTGACCGGCTCTCGGCGGCGCCCCGAGCGCGAATCGGTCGGGAGATTTCATTTTCCTCCAAGATTGGGGTTTATTTTATTTATTGCGTATTTCCGTGTTGAAGCACGAGGGCGACAATGTTCGTCGATGACATCGACAGGATAGCACGGCGGCACCGCCGGCGGCCGAGCGGCGCCGCGGTCGCCGCTCGTCGCGAGGGTTTGTGGTTGGTGTGTGTCGGGCCGCCCCCTGGGTCATGCTGCCACGCGCGGTAATGGTGACGTATCGCAGCGCGATAATAGTGATGCATCGCAGCGCGTTAACGTTGACGCATCGCAGTGCGCCGTCGGCTCCACGGTGGATGGCACCGTCCAGAAATGGGTGAGGCCATCGCGCGTGGGCAACGTCCCCGTGGTAAATTTGACGAATTTACACCGCACAGCGCTCACGTGGGGTGACAGAAGCAGCATCAGCAGCAGTGGCATCAGCTGCATCAGCAGCAGCAGCAGCGTGAGCGTCAGCATCAGCAGCAGCGTCGCTCACTCCCCGAGAACCCTCCGCAGGCCATGTCCGTCACACAGCAGCGGCGCCTTCCTGGTGCGATGATCGCCATACACCGTCGCGTCCACGCATTCCGGAGCGGACACCTCGGGGGTTCCGTCTCGGCTGCGACAGCGGCGATGAGCGGCCGTTACGGTCGCCCGGCAAATGATCATCCCAGCGGGATGCTTTGGGGACAGCTTCCGTCCAGCAGCGGATCGATCATCCCTGACGACGATGACGACAATGATGATGATGATGACAATCATGACGATAACGAAGACGACGATAATGATGGTGATGATGAAGACGATGACAATTACAAACGATGATGACGACGACGACGCCACGCGATCCTGCGATGTGACACCTGCTCGCCAGCCGAATTCCGTCGCTCCATCTCCGCACCGGGCGCCCCTCTTGCACACACTCCCCACCATCCCCTTGGCTGCCTGGCGGTGGGCGAGATCAGAGCTGCACGCGGTCTCATTTCCAACGAGAGTTTTAGCCGAAAGCTTTTAATATTTACGTTCTATATATATATGTGCATGGGGCTGTTCAGTCTTTTTAATTGGAGTTCATGTAAACGTGCTGACGGTGTATTAACTGTCCATCCCACTAATCGCCTGCAGTGTAATGACGCGTGCGCAATCCAAAGATGTATACAAATGCTCACGAGTGTATTCACGCACGCATTTATATTCGCAGCAATAATAACCACCCCTATCCAGGGAACAAAAAAAAACTCCCCCTACCGAGTCTTTTGAAACTTGTGTCTGGGGGGACCCCGGGGGGGGGGGGGGGGCGAGCGCCGCCACCGACGTGACGGCGTCGTCGTCACGGGGCGAAGCGTCCGCTCGGAGATCACGCAGAGCCCCCCCTCCCCCTCATCTCATCTCTTATCCCTTCCTCCTTCCCACTCCTCCTCCCCTCCTTCACACTCCCCCCTCCTCTCACATCCCCCTCCTCTCACCTCCTCCCCCTCCTCTCACCTTCCCCCTCTCCCCTCTTCCCCCCTCCCTCCTATCACCTCCCCCCTCCTGCGCCTCCTCCCCCCCCTCCTCCTCCTCTGCTTGCCACCTCCCCCTTTCTACCTCCTCCCTCCTCTCACCTTCCCTCTCTCCCCTCCTCCCTCATCCTCCGTTCGCCCCCTCCCTCCCCCTCCTTCTCCTCCCTTTCCTCCCACCCACCCCCCCCCTGTCCTCCCCCCTCCCCCCCTCTCTGGTCTCTGGGCCACGTGGCCCACTTCTTTCCGTGCGCGAGCGAACGCGAGTGTCGGGAGGGAACCCAAGTCGCGTGCAAGGGAGATCAACAACTCGCAGGTCCACACAGATGGGTTCACGAATCCACTTGCCCCCCCCCCCCTACGCTTGTCTCCTGGCCAACTTCGCACGCGCCCTGAGCAGGTTTGTGAGATTCACAAATCTCGACGTGATCCACCAACCCTTGCCCCCGCGGCAGGGTTGTGGGAAACCTCATCCTGAGCGGTGGTTGCATCTTTGCACAGACAAAGATCCCCCATGTAGCGTTCAACAGACTGCCGGGGCAAGTGCTGTTAGCGAGCACCTATTAAGGCCGGCACGGCGCACGAGGGGGTGGGTGTCCAGCACCACGCCCGGCCGCCTTTGTCTCCCCAGTGGCGATGTTAACGCGCACCGACCCGGGCACGCTACTCGTTTAAGGCCGAGCAGACCTAAGGGGAGGCACCAAGGACCGCTTCAAACACTCGCCACCGCTGTTGGGCGCGAGTGGGAATTCGATCCCGGGTCTGCCGGAGTGCCGACCGCTGCGCCACCGCTCCCTGACCTGTGGCGCTTCGCGACCTGCGATGTCACGAGCCCAGAGGGCGTCCGTGGGAGTCCAGCTTGGACGTAACTAACCGGGCGATCCCAGTCACGCTTTGCCTCATCATGCCATTAGGACTTGCACCGTTTGTGTTTTTGTTTCATCGTAATCGTCGTCGTCGTTTGCCACAACCGTGAGGATGGAACGGAGTGGGCGCGGCTCTTCTGGATCGCGAGCCCAGCGCGCTGCTCGCTCCGCCACTCGCTCGGGAGCATCATCAGCAGCACCATCAGCAGAGGCATCATCAGCATCATCAGCAGCATCATCAGCAGCAGCATCATCAGCATCATCAGCAGCATCATGAGCATCATCATGAGCATCATGAGCATCAGCACCATCAGCAGCACCATGAGCATCATCAGCAGCATCATCAGCATCATCATCAGCACCATCATCAGCAGCACCATCAGCATCATCAGCAGCATCATCATCAGCAGCATCATCATCAGCAGCAGCATCATCAGCATCATCAGCAGCATCATCATCAGCAGAAGCAGCATCATCGCAGGTGGAGGTGGCATCTAAAGGTCACCAATAAAGTTGCGCGCTCCAGAGGGGAGCACAGAGGGGGGAGGGGGCGTCGTTCTCGCGCCTCCGCGGGCACGCGGACGGTGAATGTCGAGCGCCGCGGTGGAGACGCAGCAGCGGCACGCGGAGCAGCACGAGGAGGAGGAGGTTGAGGAAGAGCACGAGGAGGTGGAGGGGCAGGTGGTGGAGGGGCAGGTGATGGAGGTGGAGGGGCAGGTGATGGAGGTGAAGGGGCAGGTGGAGGAGGTGAAGGGGCAGGTGGAGGAGGTGGAAGGGCAGGTGGAGGAGGAGGAGGAGCAGGAGGAGCAGGTGGAGGAGCAGATGGAGGAGCAGGTGGAGGTGGAAGCTTCGAGGACCATGGAAGAAGGGGAGACGCCACTGACACCTCAGAGCCGCCTCTGGGACCTGCTCCTTTTGGAGCAGAACGCCGGCCACAGCGAGGAGACAAAGTAAGCGATGCGACCTCGGGTCGCGCTCCTGCTGCTGCTCCTGCTGCTGCTCCTGCTGCTGCTCCATCGAGTTGTGCCGCTAGTTGCTGTTGTTGGTGATGATAGGCGCGATGTCCGACGTTTCGCTCCATCTGCTGGGAGAATATTCAGGAAACGATTTGGTTAGGTTCTGAGTTTGCCTGGTGACTTGGTCAGTCGGGTTTTCAACTGGCTGATGACTTGGTCAGTCGGGTTCTGAACCGGCTGATGACTTGTTTAGTCGGGTTCTGAACTGGCTGATGACGTTTTTAGTCGGGGTCTGACCTGGCCTGGTGACTTGGTTAGTTGAGTTCTGACCTGGCCTGGTGACTTGGTTGGTTGAATTCTGAACTGACTGACCTTGCCAACTTATGCATTTCAACTGGCTGATGATTTGGGTCGCCGGCTTATGAACAGACGGAACCTTCGTGACTTCAAATTTGTGCTCACAAAAGAAATCCATTGGCGGCCTCTGTGGATCGGCGGCCGTGCGTTCGCCACTCGTTGCAAATGCGGTTCGCGGTTCGAATCCCGGCAGCGGCTGCCCTGGTTAATACTGCGGCGCCTGGTTTTTCACTGGATCGGACCGCAGGACGTCTTTCAAGTTCCCGTGTCACGTGCCAGTCGGGGACAGCTGCCACTGGGGGGGTGTCCCCAGGCATAGCGACTGCTCCCCCCCCCCCTGTGCAACCACCGCAGGCTGTGTCTGTGTGACAGCGACAGTGTCAGGAGCATGTGGACTCGATCATAACTTGGGTCCATCCCCCCTTCCACCAAAATGTTTTCATAAAAGTCTTCAGTGGTTTCCTATGTAATGATTCTGAGCCAGTGTTAATCTCTTTGGATAATGCCACTGGGTGGAAATTCCACGTTCACGTGGCTGCAATGTATCTTCTTATGACGTCATCATCATCAGCCACGATCAATCCACGGGAACCGGTTCCGCTATCACTCGCCACTGATGTCTGACCATGGCCGGGTATCGAACTCAGGTCGCCGGATTCGTGACGCGGTCGATGCGTGTGCGTTGCACTTCTTTCGCACCGCACGTAGCCAGCAGTGCTAATCGGAGTGCGCCAAACCACTGCGTGTGACCCGAGCGATGCAGTACCATCACGTGGAAGGTCGAGGTCAAGGTGCAGCCCTGCAAGTTGCTTGCCCACGGCAAATGTGCTCCCGCGAGGAACCACTCTCCAGAGAGGCCTCCAGAGTTGTACTGCGGCCGGTGGGAAGGTGGTGCCCTGTACTGTGTGTGGACCAGAGGGTAACTGAATGAAGAGGCAATGTCAGAAGTAGCTCTGTGATATCCAGTTCTGTGGGCCACTCTCCAATATGGGGGGGGGGGGGGGCTGTGGGGCGAGGCGGGGGAGATGTAGAGCCACCACTTTGCGCCACCACCAGCGCCACCACCACTGCCACCACCACCGCCGCCACCACCACCAGCGCCACCACCAGCGCCACCACCCTTGCCGTTCGCGACACCACGTGGCGTGGCAGGGGGTTGCGTGTGGATTAGGAATAAAAATAAAACAACTGTTGTTGGCTCGCCTCGTGTTCCAAATCGTCGAGCGCCGCAGTGATGAGATGGTGAAAGATGGGGGGGGGGGGGGTACAAAGTGGGGGGATGGAAGGTGATTGGGGGGGAAGAAAAGTGGTGGGGGAGATGAAAGGTGGGGGGGGGGGGGAGATGAAAGGTGTGGGGAGGGATGAAAAGTGGTGGGGGGGTGAAAGGTGGGGGGAGATGAAAGGTGTGGGGGGGGAGATGAAAGGTGTGGGGGGGGGGGTGAAAGGTGGGGGGAGATGAAAAGGTGTGGGGGGGGGAGATGAAAGGTGTGGGGGGGGGGGTGAAAGGTGTGGGGGGGGGGGTGAAAGGTGTGGGGAGGGATGAAAAGTGGTAGGGGGGTGAAAGGTGGGGGGAGATGAAAGGTGGGTGGTGTGGGGGGAGGACGAAAGGTGGGGGGGGGACGAAAGGTGGGGGGGGGGGACGAAAGGTGGGGGGGGGGGACGAAAGGTGGGGGGGGGACGAAAGGTGGGGGGGGACGAAAGGTGTGGGGGGGGGGACGAAAGGTGTGGGGGGGGGGGACGAAAGGTGGGGGGGGGGGACGAAAGGTGGGAGGGGGGACGAAAGGTGGGTGGGGTGGGGGGGATGAAAGGTGGGGGGGGTGCATTTTACCGCACGCGACACGATGTTGGATATTTGTTAATTTTTAATCGACTCGCAGAGGGAGGGCGAACTTTGCGCGGCGGTAAATATTTTCATTCGGAAAAGATCGAGTGACGGATTAAGCCGCCGGTCCCCTCCCTTGACGTTGTTTGGTTGTTAATCGTCGTAATTAGAATCGTCGCAGCAGCGGCGGCGGATGTTGGCGATAGCGATTGAACAAAGACCGTGGCCATCTGATCACGCGCGCATTCACCTGCGCTTCTGCGGCCATCTGGATCGACACGAGGAGGCCCCTGCCTGGTGCTCATGCATTTTTAAATCATCAAGATTAGCACACTCATTTCTTGATAACTGCTTTGTGTGTGTCTGTGTGTTTAGTTTGTTTCGCACGGGTTTGGCTATGTAAGGTGCGAAAGAAGTTCAACATACAGGGACTCCTCTACTTACGAACTTTCAGAGATACGAACAAACCTGGTCCCGTATGTCCAGTTGACTGTTCGGACCGAGAGTCGTAAGTTCAACCGCCACACAAAATATAGCGGTAATGGCATCTACATCTGCAGAACATTAAGAACCAGTGGCAGGCTGTGGTAGGAGCAGCCGTGGCAGGAGCGGAGGGGAGGGGCGTTCACCAAGGCATCGCGGAGCGCAACAAATACGGCCTCCTCCGCGTTCCCCCAATGAAACTTCTGACCCTTGGCCATTAAGGTG